TTTATTCATCTTTGATAAAAACACACACACATACACACAAATATATAACTGCAAGCAAGATTTCATAAAATCTAGCATACACGTTACTCTCTGAAAGGCTGTAGTCTCCCTCGAGTAACTCTTTTCAACTATTTGTGAGAAATTTGCTTATAACTAATATATATTATTAAGAGCTTGGAAACCTTTTTATCAGTAAATAATATAAGATTCATATTTTATATATCAGCCTTATATTTTCATCGTATATAATATATAAAACATTTTTTTTCCTCCTATTATCAAAAGTGAACTTCATCAGGTTCCTTCTCACGCAAGTAACTAATAAATAAGAAATTAGTTTAAAAGCAATAATAGATTTCACCATTTCATAATTAGAAAAATGATGTTTCTGAATGTTCATGATAAAAAAGAAAAACTGTTTAATGTCTCAGTTTTAAAATGTTAGTTATTTTGAAACATCGATTAGATGGTTTAGTGTAGAATAAAATTTTCATATTTAATAAAACACAATGTTTCAGTTATACAAAAATGAACAGAACTTATATGAATTGCATTTATTTTATTTTTCTGAATAGATACGTTTTGATACTATCTGACATTTTTTTTCTCATTTCTAGACATGGAAGCCGATACCGTGAAAAATGTTTTCTAATGTTCTAACAGTGGACATAAATATACTTTATGTTGACTTTATATGAATAAATTCATCTAAGACTGAGAAGTTTCTTCTTTTTTGTTCATCAATATGCAAATAATACATGATGAAAGGCATACAGATGACTTATTTGCTTTTAAATCCTGTGATGATGGTATTCACGACGCGAAGGAGTTGCTGAACTGTGCTATATGTAACACTTTAAGTTAAGATACAAGGAGGATGTTATGATTACACAGGCTTGCGATAAAAAAAAAAAGAACCAAGGGAATTGATAGCTGAAATTTATGTATTTTTTAGTGCTGATTTCAAAAATAACAACGAAATATTTCTATCACATCATGTTTTCTTGAAAAATTCCTTTTTTTTTCCGATTTTTATGAACATTTATCAAAAAAAAATTTCACCGTTGAATTTCTTCGCTCTATCACTGACCTTCATTTTACCGTGGTGAATCTTATAGAATACCACTCTGTGACATCTTCCCGTCTTAATCTTTCTTTACCAATAGCGTCACGTGAATCCTTTTCTCAGATCCTTATCTTAGTTCACTGCCATCGCAAGAACTCTCGCTAAGCAAGCGTTATCAATTGTCACTTTTCGAGCTTTATTTGGATTGGTTCTGAATGTGTTATCTTTCCTAGTTCTGAACTCTCTCGACTTTTCTGGAGTCATTACAATGACTTTTCTGGAGTTAATTTAAAACAGATCTTCCCCTGAGGGACTCACTTTTCCTCTCTTTAACTTAGAAAATCGTCTACGTACTTTATTCGTAGTAAGATAAAAAGGGCATTGAAATTTTGAATTTCGTCTCAATTTTTCTTTTATGTGTAGTGACATGCATGCGCTGATACAAGTGACAAGTGGAAACTTCATCACAGAAACAGCTATGCTTTTCTCTGTGCAGATAATCATAGTTGTGTTTTTCTCTGTTCGTTTCGTGAAACATGGCTTTGAGTTCAAGACGTTGTAAAAATTTTCCAGATGACTTTTGTTACATATGCGGTGAATGTAGCGTAATTAGAAATCATATAAGGAGCATTACAGACTATACAAGACAACTTTATTTTGCGTATTTTGGCATGAAACTAGGAGACCAGAACAAATCGTTGGATCCTCATAAAGTTTATGTGTAGTGTCTCAATCACTTACAATACTGGTTCAAAGGAAAGATGACGATTTTACGATTTGATATTCCTACGACAGGGAGAGAACTAAAAAACCATTCTGATGATTTTGTTTCTGCCATTTCCGTGGGTATAACCACAAAAATCAAAACCTAATCTCTTAACCTGATAACATTCCATTGGCCATACGCCCCGTTTCTTATGCACTTAATGTGCGAAAATGCCTTTGCTTCAAACTAAATTGTCAGTCATCCCTTCAGAGTCTTCAGAATCGGATCATCCCCAAGGCTCCGATATATATGTTTGGAGCTGATTAACTTCAGCCCTCCTCTGTGGTTGAACTTAATGATCTCACTAGATATCTGAACCTTTCGAAAGAGGTACAGATCTCTAGTCAGTCTCTGAATCGTTGGGCTTCAGATTGAAAGAAAAAACTTATTGGCCAAAGAAACCACCTTTTATTGGAATAGGAATCATGTTAAAGAATTTATTAAGTACTATGAGGAAGGAGAGAACCTGGCCTATTGTTCAGATGTTTCCGGATTGATGAGCAAATTAAATATCACCTACAATAAAGATAAATAGAGGTTGTTTATAGATTCATTGAAAATGAACCTAAAAGCTGTCCTTCTTCATAGAAGCCGGTATGCATATGTATCAGTTGGACACTTGATGCATATAAAAGGATATTATGAAAACCTGGATTTCCCTTTCATCAAAATTAAATATGTCTACCATGGGTAGACAATTTGCGGTGATTTGTTCTGTTCTCTTAAAGATGGATATACAGAGCTCTTATGTTTCATTTGGGAGTGAGACAGCCGTGATATGACTCAACATTGGGTCAAAACAGAATAGCCGAAAAGACAAAATCTTGCCAGGAATGTGATTCGGAATAGCTTAGTAGAGCCGAAAAAAGTATTGTTGCCCTTACTGCGTATAAAAGTAGATGTAATGAAGCAGTTTGTCAAGGCTATTATTTCCTGAAATGACGATCGTTTCAAATACTTATGCAAAAAGTTTCCAGGTTTATCCGAAGCCAAGTTCAAACATTTGCAACATTTGCATTTCAAAATCTGCAAGCTTATGGAGAATAAAGAGTTTAAAAGCATGGCAACAAAAGAAAAAGAAGCTTGGGTTACCTTCAAAGACGTTGTCATAAAATTTCTGGGTAATTGTAAGGATCCTGACTATAAAGCAATTGTAATGAATATGTTGGACAAATTTTAAGCGTTGGGTTGTTCCATAAGTGTCTAAATATATTTCCTTCACACACATGTGGACTTTCCCCTGAAAATTTAGGATAAGTAAGCGAATAACAAAGTGAAAGGTTCCACCAAGACATCAAAGATATGGAGCGGGGAGCGAATATATCAAGGAAGATGGGACAAGAATATGCTCCCTGACTACTGTTAGGTGTTAACATGACATAGGCCTGTGATGAACATAAAAAAGAACGCCAAAAAGAAGTTTCAAAGGAAAAAGAATACATACTTAAATATAAACTTTTTTTTGTTTGTTTTTTGCACAGTTCAAAATTTGTTTCAAACTTTCATTTTATGTAAGTTACCTTCACAAAAACAATTTAAAATCGTATGTTGGTGCTTTTCTTGCAGAAACTGCACAGTAATTGGATTTTACTACTATGAGGCTCTCCGAATCTCATCATTAGAATTCCAGCAACTCTTATTACTTTTTTTTTTTTTTTTTGGTCTCCAAAAAGTAATTTATTTCTGAAATTTGAAAAAAAGGTCCATTTTTCCCACTTTGACTTTTCTTAATAATTTCCATGGGATTTCCTTATAATTTCGTATTTCAATCCATTCGGGTGTCTACTACATAATTCTAGGCATTTTTTCACTCATAAAGAGGTTTCACTTTGTATTTGTTTAAAATTTGGAGGAAATGAATTTTTTTTTTCCATTGGCTATTTCCAACAATTTTTTGCAATTTTACAAAAAAAGTTTTCGATAGATTCCTAAAAAACTCGAGTTTCAGTCCGTCGAACTGACATGTGAATTTCGAGGAGTACGGCCTTACAACCCATTTGGTTCCCTAGGGTAAGGCCTGATTTTTTTTTTCGTTAAAAAAAAATCAAAATTTCACCCAGAAGTTACCTAACTCATTACAGACCGACTTCTTTCAAATCCGGCATTTAGTTACGTTTCCTCGAGCTCTACAAGAAAATATAAAGGTTTTTAGAGGGAATTGGAAATTACGAATTTGGGTCTCCAAAATTAATGGATTTCTGAAATTTGAAAAAAAGGTCTGTTCTTCCCACCTTGACTTTTCTTAATAATTTCCATGGGATTTCTTTATAGATCGAAATAATTATCGACAGAGGTGTCTATTAAGTAATTCAATGCAGTTTTTCACTCAAAAAGAGATTGTTAGATTCAGACCGGAAGTAGCGTTTTATTTGAAAAACGTGGAATTCCTCTTCGAAAACTCTGTTCGAAACACGTTTTAAAAACACTTTTTTTTTAATCGTTCCTTACCTGTGACACTTATTATTATTATTATTATTGAAAAAGATTCCGCACGAGGCCCGATCTCAGGGGCATAAAAAAAAGAGCCGCCGGTCCCAAAGATTGGAACCGACGACTCTTATTCATCTTATTATTATCATTTTAAAATTTAATTCATTTATATTCCTGGAGTCTTCATTCATTCGAGCATGGTATCCACTTTTTTTTTCCTTTTTCCCAAGAGATATATTATTTTCCACCCGAGATATGAGTGTCTCTTTTAAAAACACCTAGTGGAATATCTTTTTTTTTTTTTACTCTTTTTAGATGCTTCCTCGCACCTGAGATATTTATTATTATTATTGAAAAAAAGAAAAAAAGGAGAAAAAAAAGAGCCGCCGGTCCCAAAGATTGGAACCGACGATTCTTACTTTCATTACGTTTTAATCAAAAGGATTCATTCCTCGAACCTAACCTCTCGGACTTTGGTCCAGAATCGCGGATACGGGGGGGAAAACCACCAATTTTCAAAGCCGCGCAGAGGGCGCGTCAGCGCCTACACGACTCTCCTGATCTATACAACTCGCCCATTTTTTTTCAAAGTCCAATTATAACCTCTGGGACTTTGGTCCGCCCAAAATATCTGAATCCAAACAAAGGATTTAAAAAAACTTTATAAAAAAAGGGAATTCCGGCCGCCCCTATAAGCCCTCTAAAAGAGAACCCAGTGGACGAACCGGCCGATCGAGGGACGAGTTCCAGTGGATTGCAGTAAGGTGGCTGCTCTCGCACTTACGACACCCCGAGCAGTAGGTGAGTCGTCTACGGAAGATTCGGCACCACCGCATCACACCTCCTTCGAACTAGGAGGCTCAGGTCAAAAAGCACGGGGGAAACACAGTCGGGTCTGCCCCAGAACTGCTCAGATCACCGAAAAGGCTTCTTCGGCTCCAAATAAAGGAACCTAACTCTGCCAAGCGACGGCTGGCGGCACACGCTATCTCTGCCACAGGTTAGGGGGGCTTCCGGCTTAGTGGCGTTCAGCCGTTAACCTGCGGACGGTAGCCTAGCACCATTGGCCCTCCGGCCAGGCGCACATACCAAATTTCCGAACCTGCGGTTCCTCTCGTACTGAGCTCGATTGCTATTGCAAAAACCATCCATCAGAAGGGTAAAATTAATCTGTGTCACTACGGTCTAAGCCCAGCTCACATTCCCTGTTAGAGGGTGAACAATCCAACGCTTTGCGAATTCTGCTTCACAATGATAGGAAGAGCCGATATCAAAAAATCAAAAAGCGACATCGCTATGAACGCTTGGCCGCCACAAGCCAATTATCCTTGTAGTAACTTTTCTGACAGCTCTTGCTTAAAACTCGTAATATCAAAAGGATTGATAGGCCCCGCTTTCGCAGTCCGTAATCGTACTGAAAATCAGGATCAAGCCAGCTTTTGCCCTTTTGTTCTACGCGAGGTTTGTGTCCCCGCTGAGCTGGCCTTAGAACGCCTGCGTTACCGTTTGACAGGTATACCGCTTCAGTTAAACTCCCTACCGGACACTTTCTCCGAAGCTGATCACCTCTTAATAGAGTGATAAAAGGTTTCAAAGCCATACAGACTCCGTTTGATCGGAGTTTTCTCCGCACTACCGAGTAAGTAAAGAGACGATGAAGGTAGTGGTATTTCACCGGCGTAAGCAGAGCTTACTCCCACTTATTCTATACCCTTCATGTCTCTAAGCAATGTCTGACTAGAGTAAAGTTGAACAGGGTCTTCTTTCCCCGCTGATAGTGCCAAGCCCGTTGGGAATCTCGTTAATCCATTCATGCGCGTCACTAATTAGATGACGAAGCATTTGGCTACATTAAAAAAAGAGTCATAGTTACTCTCGCCGTTTACCCGAGCTTCATTGAATTTCTTCACTTTAACATTCAGAGCACTGGGCAGAAATCACATTGCGTCAACATCTCTCGCAGACCATCGCAATGCTTTGTTTTAATTAGACAGTCGGATTCCCAGGGCCCATACCAGTTCTGAGTCGGCCCCATAACGTCCGTCGTAAAGCCCGAGTTCCCTAAGAAAGAGTTCAAGGGCAAAAACTGCGTACTTCCACCCCGCAGGCACATATCAGTCCAGAACCCCGGAAGGGATCCCAGTCCGAACGGTACGCAAACAGGGCTTCGGAGACACAGCCCAACGAACGGGGCCCCCAGAGCCAATCCTTATCCCGAAGTTACGGATCGAATTTGCCGACTTCCCTTACCTACATTGTTCTAGTGACTAAAGGCTGTTCACCTTGGAGACCTGATGCGGATATAAGTACGGCCCAGCACGAAAATCATGGACTCTCCCTCGGATTTGCAAGGGCCCGTAAAGGGGTCCCAGGCACAACTCATGAAACGAGGTGCTCTTTCGAGGCCGCCTGTCCCTATCTCGGCATGACACCTTTCCAGGGACTTCGCACCTCTTACGAAGAAAAGAAACAATCTCTTCCCTGGTGCCTCCGAGTTCGTTTGCGTTAGCGCACCAGAGACCGAGGTCTCATTTATTTCGTGTCCGGGTTCGGGAATCTTAACCCGATCACATTTCCATAGCATGACTCGTAAAGTCTTGCCTAGCACGGATCTCTCCGTTGGCTAAGGACCGACTCACCCATGTGCAAAAGCTGTTGACATGGAACCCTTCTCCATCTTCAGCCCTCAAGCTTCTCACTTGAGTATTTGCTACTACCAAGATCTGCACCGGCGGGGGCTCCAGGCAGGCTCGCGCCACGCCCTTCCACGACCCTCCTACTCAGTGCCCGAATAAAATTAATTTCTATTTCGGGCACCGGCCGAGTATGGGCTCGACGCTGGAGCGCCATCCATTTTCAGGGCTAGTTGCTTTGGCAGGTGAGTTGTTACACACTCCTTAGCGGATGCAGACTTCTATGGCCACCGTCCTGCTGTCAAGAGCAACCAACACCTTTCATGGGGTCTCATGAGCGTCTCTGCATCGGGCGCCTTAACCCGGCGTTTGGTTCATCCCACAGCGCCAGTTCTGCTTACCAAAAGTAGCCCACTAGGCACTCTTAACCACCGTCCAACCTTCAGCTCGAGAAAGGACTCTACGACCATTGAAAGTATGAGAATAGGTTGAGGTCGTTTCGTCCCCAAGGCCTCTAATCATTCGCTTTACGATCGTGACTGAATTTCGATCGAGCGCCAGCTATCCTGAGGGAAACTTCGGAGGGAACCAGCTACTAGATGATTTGATTAGTCTTTCGCCCCTATATACGGATCAGACGATCGATTTGCACGTCAGAACCACTTCGGACTTCCAACAGGATTTCCCCTGTCTTCGTCCTGTCTAGGCATAGTTCATCCTCTTTCGGGTCCCAACGTATGTGCTCAGGCTTCGCCGAGGTCATATAAGATCAAGGCAGACCGTCGGTGCGCCCCTCGCATTTATGCGGGGGATTCCGACAAGAACCATAAACTTCTTTGCGCCCGTGGGTTCGACGAGACCCAGTGACTCGCACACATGTTAGACTCCTTTATCCGTGTTTCAAGACGGGTCGGGTGGTTCACCGACCTACTGCGCCGCAACACCGTCTGCCTCCAAATAAGAACAAAGTGGCGCGGGCGAGGCGAGCCACGCCCAAAGAGCGTGGGCACGGCTACCCAAGAACCCACCCGCACCACAATGCAAACCACAAATAGGAGACAACGAGTCGGAGCCACAGTCTGCGGCGGACCCGGGCGGAAGAAATTGGAACATCCTCAATCGGAGTCCACATACAAGTATCCGCCCTCACGGCCCGCGACAAACGAATGGGGTGCGGCGTCCTCTGGAAGGGGACGAGTGCACCCGGGCCGAACCACATCCTGGGCGCGATGACGGCGCCCTTACGTTAGGGGCGTTCCTTCACTCGCTTCGGCGGAAGAGGACGACACCAGGGCTGAACGCCCCCGACACTGGACTTCGAGGGCCCAGCCGTTTCTCTCTGAGCAGTTTCACGTTCTATTGAACTCTCTCTTCAAAGTTCTTTTCAACTTTCCCTCAGGGTACTTGTTGGCTATTGGTCTCAGGGTCGTATTTAGCCTTGGGTGGAGTTTACCACCTGTCTTAGGGCTTCACTCCCAAGCAACCCGACAAGCGCGCGCACCACGGCGCGCGTGGACGGGCCTCACACCCTTTAAGGAAAATGCCCCGATCGTGGGGACTTCCCGCGCACGCTAGGTCCACACTCCCGACTCGCCCAAACGCCACATTTCCCTGCACGAGGCAAGGATTCGGCGCTGGGCTCATCCCTGTTCGCTCGCCACTACAAGGGGAATCACAGTTGTTTTCTTTTCCTCCACTTATTAATATGCTTAAATTCAGCCGATAGTCTCGTCTGTCTGAGGTCGTTAATTCAAAAAATTTATTTGTTAAGGTACCTCCTTTCGATTCTTGGGGAAAGCCTCAAGCGAGCAGCCGGATGAACCGAAGAGTGGCCCTGACGAGGAAAGGCTCCCCCGGCCACTCGAGACTGCTCCCAGGGCTCGGAAGAATTCCTTTCACACTTAAGCCGACGGGTAATTACCCGACGCGGCCAATGGACTCTAAAATAAGAGTCTAAGTTTCATACGACCCTTAAACAGGCGAGGCCTCCAGTCCCAGAAGACCGGAGGCCACTATGCACGTTCGATAGTTCGGTGTTCAATGTGTCCTGCAATTCACACCAATTATCGCAGCAAGCTGCGTTCTTCATCGACCCGTGAGCAGAGTGATCCACTGCTCAGAGTTGTCATAGTCATTTCGTTCGAGTTGGTAGGGACAGAGAACATAGGGGCGCGGTGCACTCTCTGGTGCAGCTCTCTCACCTAGCCCGAACCCCCGAAGGAGTTCGGACCCCCTTAGACCTCGAAGGGTCTGGGAGCAGATACGTCCTCTTCAAGACTCGGCAACGATACTCACAGAGACTCGGGAAAATATAATTCCAAAAAATTCGGAGAACTCAGAGTCATCGAAACAAGAAAGAGGCTACGATCAGCAACGACACTCAACTCACACTAACAGAGATGTTGACCCGGAAACGTCACACGACGAACGAAAATGCACCGGAATCGGCGGCAAGAAACTCTTTACGGCAGAGCACCCACCGAGGAAGAGATGACGGAGCAGAGTCCGGAACAGACCGAATCCCAACTCGAACCCGACACACGAACCGAACGAACTCGGTACCGGACGACCCTTGCTCCCACAGACAAGGATCACCGACACCTCGCACGCCCGAATCCGAATCTCAAGAACCAGTCCGAACCCGGACGAAGGCCCCCTCGCACCGCACGGCCATAACTCCCCGACTTCCTCTCCACCGGTCCAGAGAACCACCACCGCTCCCGGCAGTCCCGTTCCCTCTCCACTTCATCCGGTCAATCCACAAAACAGCCTCCTCTTAAAAATTATCTAAATAAATGCGTCGCCGCTTCTCGTCTCCTCCTACCACCGCGATGACAAAAATGAACTCTCTCTCGGCCACTGGGGGCGCAGGCATCGGCTAGTTTTAAAAGACCATACCTCGAGTCGGCGACGGCGCACCCGGGCAGGAAGACGATTTCCAAGAAAGGCAGAATTCACTCGCGAGACCCCGAAGAGACGAACCGTACGAGCCAAGCACCGGAAGACCCATGCCCCCGCAGACACAGATCACCGACGCCTCACCCGCCCGAGTCCAAACCCCTAGACTCTTTTAACTTTGAACTCTCTCGATAATTTCCACCTCTCGAAGCACCGCCAAACCCTCACCCGATCTATCGAGATCGGTCGCCTCCTCCTCCTCTACGGGAGAGACTTCTCCTCCGGTCTCCGAGCCACGGGACCCGAAGGAGCCACCCCAGGACCGTTCTCTTTCTCCCGAGCCTCGTTTCCATGCATCACCACTCGGTCGTCGCCTCGTCTGGGGAGGAGCGGCCAACATCTCCGCCCGCGGAACGAGCTCCGCTCAACGTGGGCCTTTCGAAACCACCCTCGACTCGGTTCGAGGCACTCTCTCTCGTTCCGCCTCCAATTCCAGCTCAAACCCTTTGATCGGAAACACGGTGCGCTCTACAGAAAGACTTCAACGCACGGAACGTACCAAAAACCTCGTCTGGGAGAAGGGTGGGGGACGAGAAAAATAACTCTTCGGGGCAGACCCCGAGCCCCGGTGACAAGCATATTCAAGCAATGATCCTTACGCAGGTTCACCTACGGAAATTTTGTTACGACTTGTAACTCCTCTAAGTGATAGAGTTCGATCATCTTTCCGACACTTCGTGTCTGTTAAGGAGCGGAGGCGCAGGTCCGAAGACCTCACCGAGCCACTCAATCGGTATTAAAGACGGGCAGTGTGTACAAAGAGCAGAGACTTAATCGGCACGAGTTAATGACTCAAGCCTTCTGGGGATTTCTCGTTCAAGGGGCTAGTTACAGTCCCTATCCCCAGCAAGAAGGCGTTTCATCGGGTTGCCCGAACCTCTCGGTCAGGGAAAAAAAGCACACGCTGTCGCCTTCATTGTATTGCGCGTGCGGCCCCGGACATCTAAGGGCATCACTGACCTGTTTTTGCTCTTTTTCGTGCGCTTGAAACCGCTTGTTCCTCTAAGATTATCTTTCAGTGAAACATCACGGAACAGCCTATTTAGCAGGCAAGAGTCTCGCTCGTTATTGGAATTAACCAGTCAGGTCATGCCCACGAACTAAAAACGGCCATGCACCATCACCCACGAAATCAAGAAAGAGCCATTAATCTGTCAGTGTCCGGACCGGGTGAGTTTTCCCGTGTTGAATCAAATTGAGCTGCAGAATCCATCCCTGGTAATACCTTTGCGTCAATTCCTTTAAGTTTCAGTTTAGCAATCATACTTCCCCCGGAACCCAGAAGCTCTGGTTTCCATGAAGCTGCCCGGCGTGTCCTTTCTTAAACAGCACCTGATCGCTGGCTGGCATAGTTTACGGTCAGAACTACGGCGGTATCTGATCGTCTTCGAACCTCTGACTTTCGTTCATGGTCAATGAAAACATTATTGGCAAATGCTTTCGCAGTAGTTCGTCCTGCGACGGTCCAAGAATTTCACCTCTAGCGACTCAGTACGAATTCCCCCGTCTGTTCCTATTGATCATTACCTCCGGTTCCGAAAACCAACACAATAGAACCGAGGTCCTCTTGCATTATTCCATGCATCCTTGTGCGGGCGATAGGCCTGCTTTGAGCACTTCAGTTTCTTCAAGGTAAACTGACCGGACCCCACGCCACGACCGGTTAAGATCGCAGATCGGAAAACGGTCAGAGCCCGCAAGGGGCGCTGACGCGCCCCACCGTCCCGGACTAAGATCCGACTACGAGCTTTTCATCCGCAACAAATTTAGCTTAAGCTATCAGAGCTGGAGTTATTGCAGCTGATGGCACCAGACTTGCCCTCCAATCGTTCCTTTCGAACACTTTTTACCTTGCGATCATTCCGATCACGGGGTCTCGAAAGAGTCCCGTATCGTTTTTTTCGTCACTACCTCCTCGAGCCGGGAGTGGGTAATTTGTGTTCCTGCTGCCTTCCTTGGATGTGGTAGCCGTTTCTCAGGCTCCCTCTTTGGAATCGAACCCTGATTCTCCGTCACGACCAGGGTAGGCGTATGACCTACCATCGACAAGGCAGACACTCGAAAGACGCGACGCCCCCGTGCGATCCGTTCTAGGTTATACATAGTCACCAGTCGCTGCCGCGCGAACGCGGGCTGGTCTAATAAAAGAGCTCGTCTCCCTCGTGGGATCGGAGCTCCAGTGCATGTATTAGCTCTAGGATTACCACAGTTATCCAAGTAATCTCAACCGCCAAGGAAACCGTAACTAATTTAATGAGCCATTTGCGGTTTCGCTTTCTGGTATTGCTTGTACTTACACGTGCATGGCTTAATCTTTGAGACAAGCATATCACTACTGGCAGGATCAACCAGTTATCTTTCCATTCTTAAATTGCGAGGCATGAGAACCTTGCCGAATTTTTTTTCATGGAGCCGGGAGCCCTGGATCTGACTTTACGCCGGAATTTTTTAAGAGGTACCGCTTCCCTCTCCGAATTGGTCCGTGTTTCTTTCTCGTTTTGAGACTTTCCGCAGTGGTACGAACAAAGGCGTTCCCCGAAGGGCCGTCGTTCGTACGGTATCGAGGTGGTAGGTTATTGACTAACCGCCCCCCTTCTAAACGACTCGGTCGATCGACACGCACGGCGCGTCCGACAGCGACCGCTAGGGCAGAGACGGGTTGGAAAGAGCCCCCGCGAACGGGGGCCCGACGCGGACGAGTCCGCACCATCGACAGACGAGTTCCTTTAACGGCGTGCATCCACGCCGACCCGCTGGACGGAGAGAGAGAGGCGAGCCCCCGCAAACGGGGACTCGACGCGAACCGAGCCGCGTTGTCCTAGGCAGGTTCCTTTACGTCCGTTAGGAATCGACCAGCCGTCTCGGGATCGGAACCCCCGAGGGGGGGAACCGACGAGGCCGCGAGAGCTGCGCGGTCCTGGGCAGGTTCGTTTACGGTCAGAGACCGACCCGCCGTCTTCGGACCACGTGTGCAGTGAAAATTGCCCCGGTCGTCTTCGGCAGGTGCTTTAATGGCCGCCGGCCATCCCGCTGTCTTCAGACGACCGCAGCGCGCCCCCGAGTGGGGACGCTCCTCCGTCGATCCTGTCTTCGGTCCGGAGGGACCCCGCGAACCGCTGGTCCGTCCCGAACGCTCCCGGTCCTTCCGCAGATGTTCCTGGTCCAAGCGTCTTCGGTAGAGCCAATCCTTCGGTCTCGACGGACCCCGAGGGCCGCCGGTCACTCCAGGTCACTCGGAATATATTCGGGTCGCTAAAATGAATCCCGAATCTTCCACAGACATTCGGCTAGCACACACGTCTTCGGCTGAGCCAATCCTTCCGTTTCCACAGGTCGTGTATGGGCGGGCATTATCTTGTTGAAAAGAACATCCTGGGTGTCGCTAAAGGAACGGTAACACAATCGGTCATAGAATGTCCTCTACGTATCTCTGTGCTGTTAGTGTGCTAGAAACGACTACCAAAGGGGTCTGACTATTAAAGGAGAATAGTTGATAACGATGATTCCGGTGCTGTAACAGCTGCTTTGACAATCGCTTTATCTTCCCGTTCTGCTGTGGCCATAGGTCGATCGCTACCATCATGACACTAAAATCTGCCATTGCCCATCCATTCTTGCCAGCATCGTCTAATCGTCACATCGCTTCGACCCAGATAACGAGCGATTGTTAGATTCGTCCAACCAGCCTCTTTCATTCCGATAGCACGATCTCTTTCAAACTGTGACATCTGCACATAATGTGCACGAATCCTGCGGCGAGGCATTTTTTTAATCGTTGAAAGGTATCCTAAATCGCAATGCAACAGAAAATTTGATCATCCGATTGAGTATCGTTACTTATATACACCTGCTGAAGAAGCAGTTCCGATACGCTGGAGCTCCCGCTATTCATTCATTGGACACAAAAGTTTAATCATTTGCATGTTCGGTCCCTTAGTCTTTGCATACGCAATTTCATTCAAATCGGGCAACTCCTTCTTGGTGCGACGATTTTTTTGTTATAGAGGTTTTTTTTTTTTTTTTTTTTTGGAAAAACATACTAAGCAGAAAATATTATATATTTAATATTTTGTTTTCTAGAATAGATTCCAAAGGACTTAATAGGCTAATTAAAATATATTTTCAATGTATTCAAATTTTATATGCATGCTTGAATTTTTGTAAAATTTTC